TTTAAGTCCCGGCTTGACAAAGCCCTGGCCGGGGTGATTTAGATGGGATTGGTCCTGCATAGAGCAGGGGGGTGGACTTGATGACCTTCTGATGTCTCTTCCAGTTCTATGATAAGGGGATGGTTTGAGAACATGATCTTGGTAACTAATTGACCATTCATTATCAGTGGGAAATAGGTCAATGGAGGGATGATAGGAGTTACTATAGAGAACTTTCTGGGTGTCTGGCTGGTGAGTCTTGCCCCCATGCTCAGGGTTTAGCTGATCACCATATTTGGGGTCGGGAAGGAATTTTCCTCCAGGGTAGATTGGCAGAGACCCTGGAGGTTTTTCGCCTTCCTCTGTAGCATGGGGCACAGATCACAGCTGGGGGATTCTTTGCATTTTGGGGCCTTCAAAGTATTTGAAGGCCCCAATATCTGAGACATAGATGAGAGGATTATTCTAAGAGGGGTGGGTGAGATTCTGTGGCCTGCACTGTGCAGGGGGTCAGACTAGATGATCATAATGGTCCCTTCTGACCTTAAAGTCTACGAGTCTATGAGAAGGCCTTGCCCCTTCCAGGAGCACAGAGCCGGGCCACCCCACATTGCCCAGGGGCCTGGCAATCCTATTAGTTCCCCTTCATGTGAAATTTCCAGGGAAAGCATTCACCCCTCCAAAGCAACCAAGTACATGTATTTCCCCCACTCCACATAAAAATGCCCCATTGGTTTCATACTCTCCCTGTTCTCAAACAATCCACCATGCAGACACTAGGGATGTGAATAGTTAATCAGCTAATCAGTAAGTCTCATCCATAACAGATGAGGCTTACCAGTTCCAGTTAACCAGTAGGAGCTGGAGCAGCTCCACACTTGCCACAGACAGGGGGCTGCTCCTGTCCTGAGGGGCCTGCTGTGGGCAGGGGGGCTGCACTAGCCCCATTGGGCTGGAATGGCTTCCTTGCTCACCCCCTTTAATTGGTTAACCAACTAAACAGAATTTTACATCCCTAGCAGACAGTAGTTCTTGACTCATCATACTCATTCCAGAGTAAGAGTGTGTCTACCCAGGGAAGTACCTGGTATAATTATAGTGATATAATTTCCTTTATTAGGCAGAGAGGAACAAGAGATTTCAGGGCTAATCTGCAACTTCAGAAAATCTAAATTTAGTGCACCGTAACTACTTAACAGTAGATTTTAACACTATTTTAATGTTATAAGGAATACATTTTCAGTCATCTTAGAGCTGTCCTATAGAATATTTTTTTAAGATAGGATTGCAAAAAAGATAGAAGTTTTCACTTTGATGCAGAATGCATCATGGGTTTGGAAACTTTTCCTAGCAATCAAATCAGAGTGATCAATTTAACTTCAGTGAAGTTTAACAGTGAGGGCTATTGAAATGAAACTAGTAGTACACAACAGAGGGCCCAGTTTAATTCCAACTTAATAGAGCTGGCTCTGGCACCCGTTAAGACTAATGCAGTAAGCAATAAATATCCTTCTGACCAAAGCATTCTCTTTATAGTGGTTTAAAAATAACAAGAAAATGCTAAATTCCTTTGGATTTAACATTGATACTTGTCATGCAACTTCCTCCTTATGGGAGTTCTATTTTAATTGATTGTCATGACAGTCCTAGATAGTTAGCTAGGCAAGGCAAGCGACTGGTGCTATCTTTGGGCTAGATAAAGGAGGACGGTGTTCAGATTGTTACAGCACAGTTTTCATCTATTAAATATTGAAAAAACCTTGCTCTGGTGAATGCCAGCATCACCTGCATTGCACAGGAAATGTACGAAACTAGAATCACAGAAAGTGCTAGCCATACTCACTGGAACTGATCAGATCACTGTGTAAATGAACTGAGGTGAAGTTTATTCAGTTTCATCCTCTGTAATAATTTCTCTGGAATATGGATTGTGGGGTACACAGGCACTGACTGGTCCTGAAGTTTCCCTTTCCCCTCAACTCATCACTAGCTGTCAGGGGAGTGCTCATTCAGACCTTGCTTACAAATCAATTTGGAACAATTAGGTTGGCCAACATCACCAAAATGAATGTGCTGACACGGTCATAAAAACCAACAGCTGTGTGAGGAAGCTAGTCTTTGTTCATTCTTCTCAAACTCCTTATGCATTTTCAGGTACAAGTGTTTTACCACATACTGTATATACTTTAAAAGTGTGTATTAATATTTCATTTCAAATTTCCAACTGAGTGAACTGGCAATATTGCATGTAACTAGCTTAGTTAACCACTGAGGGAGTGATGGGGAAATTCATGAGGACTGTGGGGGAAATCCTTAGCCAATTTGTGGTTCCTCTGAGCTCACCCATCTCTGCACTTAAGTTTGTGAACATTTTGTGGTAGGGACTGAGCCTTTTCATACATCTGGAAAATACCTCCTCCTCTGTGGGTATTCCTATAAATAAATACTTGTTGAAAGCAATGGGCTTTGTGAGAAGACTCACAGGTAAAGAGCCCATTTACATTGGTACTTTTAAGTAAAAATCTTAATCCCTCCTTGAGGCATTTTGTTTAAAATATAATTCTTGTGAATATCTTGCAGGAAACCCACCTTCTACTGTGCTAATCAGGATTAGTAATAAACAAAGCAAGTTCATAATCTATAGATGTGAGCAGCGGGTTTTGGTTTACTTATCCAGTTAGCTGCTGACTAATTGGCAGGAGTGACAGGTTATGCCAAGCTCTAATTAGGAAAGCACATTGTTCTCTGGGAAATTGCACACTTTTGACTAGCAAAGCCACTGTACGATGCTGCCTGGCTTCCACTGTCCGGGAAATAACCAGTGACACACCCAGGATTTACAAGCACTTTCTTCAGGGTGCCACTCATTGGTGGGACCACTAGCGCCCCCCCCCCCAACACACACACACACACACACACACACACACACAAAAAACTGTTCCACAAAAACCCAACATCAAATCAGTTCCCCAGACCCAGAAGCTTTCTTGCTAAACTCTCCCTGAGAGCTCTTACCCAGTCCTTCATGTGCTCGTCTTGCCACAAAACCCAGCCTGTTTCCTCCAGCTCCCCCTCTGATCGTGCTCTGTTAGCCTTTTCAGCAATCAGGTGCTCATTAGGCAACAAAACCGAATGCAACTGACATTGAAAATCCCCTCTATCTAGCATAAAGGGGCTCTGTCTCAGAACAAACCTGGCTGGCTCTAGGCTCCCAGGGGTGGGCCGCTCCATTACAGCCACACTGGCAGTACATAGTCTTTACAAACAGGAGTTTTCTGTAAAGACTACTCTACCTAGGACCTCTGAATTACAGTTCTCTCTTAAATCAAAGTTGAGGAAGTGGAAAGATACAACCACCAGCATTCCGTATGTACTCTTCTGGATATTGAAGTACAGACATGATGGGAAATGCAGATAACCCACAATGGGTAACAGTTTATTGATAGCCTCCCATCATACGATTAACCCTGTAACACATAAAAGCTAGGAATAAAGGAAAAGAATTAAATAGGCATGATGTTTCCAGAGATACCTCAAATCTGAAATCAGTTGGTGAGGCTGTTATGGCTGATTTCTGGCATAAGAGCTTTCATCTTTTCTTATGACTTTTCAATGTCATATAAAATTACTTGGAAATCTTAAAAAAAAAGTGGGGAGGATCCAGGCAATTATGACTGAGTAGGAAAAACGCCCATGTTTTACTCCTCTGACAACGTGGGGGG